CTACCAACATATAATCTTAGATAAATTAGTTAACTACTCTGTTTTCTCATAAAGATATTGAAGACAATATGAACTATCATGATTTTGAACTAAAAAGTAAATGAAATAGTATATATTACGTCCTTAGAATATAAAAACCTCTCAGTGAAAGCTTTTTCTCATATTTAATGTGAATAGCTCAATTTGATTGTAGGTCAATCATGAAATTAAATGTGACTTTAAAAAGTAGCCTGTCTTGCAACCTACAATGTGGGAAAAAATTTTTACCAGGTGTTCATCAGAGGTCTACTATCTAGAATATATGAAGAACTCAAAAAAATCAGACCCCCAAATTCAAAGATCAAATTCAAATATGGGCATCTGAAATGAACAGATATTTCTCAGACAAAGAAGTAAAAGCAGCACATAAATATAGGAAAAAATGTTCAACATCACTGGTCATTCGAGAGATGCAGATGAAAACAACACTGAGATTCTATCTCACCCCAGAAAGAATGGCTACTATCATGAAATCAACCAATAACAAATGTTGGTGGGGCTGTGGGGAAAAAGAAACCCTTCTCCATTTTTGGTGGAAGTGCAGACTGGTTCAACCACTGTAGAAATCAATATGGAGATACCTCAAAAAACTAGGATTAGAGGCCTCATTTGACCCAGCTCTCCCTTTGCTAGGTAATGATACCACAGCAATATATGTGCACCCATGTTTATAGCGGCACAGTTTGTCATAGCTAAAACTTGGAAACACCCCAAATGCCCATCAACAGGAGACTGATAAAGATGTGGTTTTTCTATAAAAAGGAGCACTACTCAGCCATAAAGAATGAGAAACTAGAAACGTTTATAGCTAAATGGATGCACATTGAGGCCATACTCTTAAGTGAAATAAATAGGACACACGTGTAAATATCAAGTGGTTTCTCTGGTGTGAAAAACTAAAAGTGTAAATAAGGTTCAAATGGTATAATTGATAATGTGAAATAGGAAGAAAAGGTCTAAAGGAGTAGGGGAAGTGGGAAGGATGGGGGAAAGGGAAGGGAAAAGAAAAAATATGAGAAAAGGAAAAAAATGGAAACAAAGTCTCTATAAATATGGAAGGGAGGACGGGATGAAGGTAGGGCAGGGAAATGGGAAAAAAATAAGAACCAAGATACATCATGTAAAGGTACAAGATCCCAACAATGAATGTAACTATTGTATACCTAAAATGTACCAATAAACTTAATGGAAAAAAAAGTAGCCTGTCTTGGAAAAATTATAGAAAAAAATACAAAAGGCAATTTTCAATAAATTAAATTTTGGAAATATATCTGAAAAGCAAATTAGAAAGAATTGTTCCTTGAAAATATAAATATCTCTTCATTTACTTCCTGTTTTTAGTTTTTAATGTGTTGCGAATGTGTGCTTGCCTATGACTGTCTGCTAGTTAAAAAATTTCTAAAGAACTAATATTCATCTATAGTTATAACAATGAATGATCAAATATATAGAGATGATATTTTGAAAGGAAAAATATTATAGGGTATTTTAATTAATTTTGTTCACAAGATTAATGCATAAAATAATTACCTAAAAGATGATTGGATGGATTTGTACTTTTATGAATAATGGCCATGAAAAATGGTTCCCTCTCTAAAGTTATGAAATATTAAATATATGCTTTGAATCTGAGTAGATTTGTACTATACCAGTTGATAGCACTGGATTATTGCATCATTTAACCAGTGCTTAAATGCATGAAAACTTTGTGAAGAAACATGTTTTGTTACCTATATTTATTTTATTTTCTTAAACTACTCTCACTTAAGTCTTAATAATTCACAGTGGTAATTTCCTTACATGTAAATTATTATCAGTGTTATAGAAATTCAAGAGTGTGTGGGCATTTGTTTGGTTCATATAGGTAAAATTGATCATTAAATCTTTAACTGGAGACAAGCAAGAAAAATCAGTATGATCACTCATTAACAGTTAGGCTTATTTTTATATAACATTTAAAATAATTTTAATACATCTTCAGGATTCCTTTTTAAAACTTACAAGCTTGATAAATAATTATTTTGAATAAGATAAAATTGTAACTATTATTTTTTTATATAACCCTACTATGGTAGGATTTTGAACTCTAATTAAGATAACTACCATACTGTATGACTTCCCATAAGCTGAATGTGTATGTTCTGTGCTATCATTTATAAGAATTTTAGCAAACTAAAGAAAATTTTCAAATTTGAAAATGTGGAAGACAGTTCAGAATCTCAACTTTGGAACATGCGTGTCTCTTATTTTTTCCTTCTCTTACGTCTTTCTTATTTCTTCCTTCTCTTACAAGCCCTGCATTTCTCCTCACTGTGAAATATGCATAGGAGTGTAGGGTTTGAAGACAGGACTGTACACAGTTCACACAAGGTCTTGTGAGGAAGGTGGGACTACTTCTTCAACCATATGGAGTCCTGAAATTTTGGGGAACAAACTAAAATAGTAATTTGAAGTCTTCTTTAGGAAATAAAACTTGTGTGACTAGAAATAGACAAACCTAAATATATTCTGGTTTATGTGCATTCTGTTATAAAACACATGCCAATAAGTGGGGCTTTAGGGGGTCAGAAGGGAACAGGCATATTTTCCAAAGAATGTATTCACTACTCTTTTTTGGTTTTAATTAGACTGTTGTTTTTTTCTTTTGGTTGGATAATTTCAAGTCTTTTCTACCCAACTGACAAGTCTTTACTTAATAAAACTAGATTTAAATATTTTCAGTCCTTTTGAGAAAATAACTGGTCTTTTAAGGAATTCCCCTTCCCAACTTTACTAAGACATGATTGACCCATAAAAACTACATGTATATAAATACACTTGTGTATATATGATGTAAATACACTTGTGTAATACTTGCCACACCCAAGTTAATGTATATGTCTATCACCTTACATGGTAACCATGAATATTTAAGATCTATGCTTAATACATTTTAAGTATACAATACATTATTATTAACTATAGCTAACAAGATATACATTAGATCTTTAGTTTAATCTTACATTTGAAAGTTTGTACACTCTGACTGATACTTTCTTATTTCCCTACTTTCCAGCCATAGCCATTACCATTCTACTCTCTGTTCCTCCAAATTCCACTTTTTGGAGTCCACATATAAGTGATATCTTGCAATATTGTCTTTTTGTAGCTGCCTTATTTCATTTAGCATGATATCTTCCAAGTGCATTTATGTTGTCTTAAATAGCAAGACTTTTAAAGAATGAATAATATTGTATGTTTTCACATCCTCTCTATTGTTAGTAGTGCTGCAGTGAACACTGGAGTACAGATATCACTTCAAGGTACTGGTTTCATTTCCTTTGGGCATATAGTCAGAAGTAGGTTTGCGCAGATGGTAGTTGTCTTTCAACTTTTTGAGGAAGCTCCATACTTGTTCCCACAGAAGCTATACTGGTTTACATCCTCTCCAGCGGTATACAAGAGATCCATATTCTGTACATATTTGCCATCCCTTGCTAACTTTTTTCTTGATAGTAGCTATCATAACAGGTGGGAGGTGATATCTCATCATGGTTTTGATTTACATTTCCCTGGTGACTGATGATTTTTGGCACCTTTTCATATTTTTGTTGGCTGTTTTTATGTTGTTGATATAAATGTCTATTGAAGTCATTTGCCTGTTTTTTAAACTGAGTTATGCAGGCTTTTTTCTTACTGTAATTGAGTTATTGTCCTTATGTATTTTGAATATTAACTCCCTATCATTCATTCATTAATATATATATCAGATGTTTTCTTTCTCTTGTTATGTAGGTTGGCTTTTATTTTGTTGAATGTTTCTTTTGCTGTTCAGAAGCATTTTAATTCTATGTAATTTCACTTGTTTTAATTTTGCTTTTTTTTGCTGTGTTTTTGGTGTTGTATTTGAAAAATCATTGCCAAGCTCAATGTCCGGATGCTCTATTCTTTCCTGTAAATGTTCTGTACTCATAGGCTTTATGTTCAACTCTTTAATCCATTTTGAGTTGATTTCTTGGACAGTATAAAATAACAGTCTAGTTTCATTCTTTTGTGTGTAGATAACCAGTTTTACCAGTTCTGTTTATTAGAGACTCTGTTTTCCCCATTGTGTGTTTGTGTTTATGTGTGTGTTGTTTTGCTACTTTTTATTTTAAGATTTAGTTAATTATATATATGTATGGGTTTCATTGGCCTATAATTCTATTTTTATGTTACAGTAATGTTTATTATGAATTATAACTGTAAAAACGTCACTTAACTATTTGTTTTTAAAATTATGAAATATTCTTGGAAATATTGGTCCTCTCTTGAGCATAAAAACTTAGTATTGTGAACTCTTGTGGAAATTTTTCTGTTTTTTCCCAAAATAATTCATATTTCTCATGATATACAACTATGAAAAGTGGAAAGAATATTTGGAGCTTACTGTTAAAAAAATCCTTGGATTTTTAACCAGCAATATCTTTCTCGCTAATTAGGTATTTATCTAAAATGCAAATGATTTAACTATTTGGAGCCTCAATACCCTTGTGCCTTGGGCATGATGTAAGGAATTTTATATTTCATAGTCTCTAAGATCTATTCCAGGTCTGAATTCCATTTTCATAAAAGTCTAACATCCGATACTCATATTACGATCTGATCATGTTTCCATATATTTTCTTATAAATAATTTATGTACCAGCTTCTTTATTTGCTAGTTTTACAGTTCTACACACAATTGTTCACTCTTGGTGGCCGTTCTTAATTTTCTTATACATTTCTTATGCAGTTAGTAGAGGAAATACCCTGGAAATTATTTTTACAAAATTGTGTAGAATTTTAGATATATAGAGATTAGTGATCAAAAACAGCATCCAGTCTATTAAAAGTGAGAAAAGTAATAGCAGAATTACTTAGAAGTTTGATTTTGGTTTAGAGGGAGGATTTGTTAACTATGAAATGAGCAGATTAATGACCTCTTGCATTTTGTTCTGTAGGCATCTTTGCAGCTGTACTATCCACCATGATGTTTCTACTCTGATATACTACCTGGTTTGTGATATTCCTGAATACATCTTTTATACTTGTGAGTGCCAGCAAATCCAAATTTCTGTGGTCATTTTCTTCCTCTGTCTTTGGGTTCAAGAGCTGACTGGACTGGAAAGACCACAGTAAGAATTATTTACCTAACTCATTCTCCTTCCCACTGTGCAGCAGGACCCCATATGCTTGGTGAGCTGGGTTGCCACTTGTTTATCAACAGACCCTTCCTGGGCTTGTCACCCTGATGATGGTGGTCAGATTGTCTAAAGTCCCAAATGGGGCAGTTTGATAGAAGGAATAGAACCTGAGGGCTCTGTATTTTACCATCCAGGTGACATTGATTTCTTAGTCTTGGGCGTAGAATTTTTCATTTGAAATACAACAGTAATCCTAATTTACTATTGAAAACATTACTATGGTTTATTCATCATTTCATTTGATCCTTAGTGAGCAATGAGATATGCACTATTATATCATTTTTACAGATGTAAAATCTGGCGATGTTAAATTACCAAGTGTACACACTGACTGTTGTCACTTTTTCTTGATGTTTTCATTTTAAAATAAAAGAAAGGGAGAATAGAATTATGTTCATTGAGAATTTACTATGTACTCAATATCTTGCTAGGTGTTTTGGTATATTATATTATTAAACATTCAATAAATAAATAATTTAAGAATATTAAATATACCTAATAATAATGTGAAACAAATTATTCCTATTTCATAGATGAGAAAATTAAGGTTCAGAAAAGTTTGGAAAGGTGTTTGAAGGCCACATAGCTAATAACTGAGATTTGCATCCTGTCTGTTAGACCCAAGGTAACCAATAAATTCTGTCTCTAGGATCAGCCTCTATCAGTTTACAAGATTGTCTACAGCAGTGTGAGAAGAATTCCAAGACTTTGTCTAGAATCCCTAGGAAAGACCATCTCATTCAGTTAGTGACCTTTTTCACAGAAATGTCTCATCCTTGAAGTGAACTCTCTCTAATGTCCCTTTCCTCTCTACAAACTATCCTTCTAGGTAACCATAGGTATAGGCAGTGTCTTATCCTGTATCCTCCTGGAAAAAAGTACCTGAGACAGGCTGTGTATAGTCTAAAAGCTTAATTGGAATGTGACTCTAGGGAGCAGTAGCAAAAGGTGAGGATGGAGGGAAAGCCAACACAAGCATGTTTAATAGAGGTGGCACCTACTGGTACTGTCTGGTATGACCCTTTGAGAAACTTCATGAAACAAGTGTGAGAACTGCCCATGTGGAAGGATCACAGGGGAAGAAGCATTTATATACAGGTTCCCATGTTGAACTGGATGGAGATAGTTTTGTGGATGTTAACACCTTCAAACTACTGGATGGCACATGTCTGTGTGTTCAGGAATTTGGAAGGGAGTGGTATCTTCTGTTTTAGCATCAAAGAAATGAAAGAGTAAAAAGCAAGAAGCCAGCAATACAGATTAGAAGTAAAGTACTGTCAACTTGCACCTAAGTGAAGCTGATACAAGCCTGCACTGAACTTGGTTAGCTTAGTGATGGTGATGTGAATTTTGGGACTATGGATATCTTGATGGAGGGGAGGAGCCTACAGGACATTGGCTATTGCTGATCTCCTTAACTCCCATGGGCCTGATGAACTCCATGACCCTGGTACATGTGAACCATGTGTACAAGGCTACAGGTATGCTAGGACAGTACTAATGGCATCTAGTCTTAACTTCTGGAGTTTCTCTCCCATCATTCTTTTATTAGTAAGTTGGGCTCATAAATTATCAGTCTATAAGTACATAAGCACATTGGGCATTAACAATCATATTTTATTGAATGTCTCAGCCCATGATCTCACTCCTTCTTAATACACTAATGAAATAGGTATAATTCTTTTGCTCTCACAGAAGGACACACTCTTAACTGCCTATGGCCATGCCCACAGAGCAGTTGAACTGAAATCCAAACTAACCTCCAGCTAATTCTTAAATCTATGTTTTTTCTATTCTATTGGCTGTTTGGCAAAGACAGAGGGATTGGCTTTAGTTTAGTGAGTACTTGAGCTTTGCCCCCAGGAACTCTGAAATGAACTCACTTCTGGTAGTTGGGCTTATCAACATCATCAAGTGAGTCAACTGAAGACCTGGGGGGGGGGGTCTCACAGTAAGGGCTGGAAATCCCCTCTGACTCAGAGCTGAATTTCTGAGCTCATGAATCTTTAAACTGTTTATGTAAGCAAAAACTAAAGTTGAAAGTTCTTAGAAATTACACTATTTTTCCCACAACTGCTGGAAGGCCACATTTCTTCTAGTAATGAGGGAAAAGGGATTAAATAGCATGTCTAAAGTTACAAAGAAAATTCTAGTCAACTTCTCTGGCACTCAGTGTTCTCATTTATGAAATAATAGTGTAGATTTCATGATTTCTAAGGCCCCTTCCAAGCTATAATTTAAGATACAGAGGCTACACTGCAGGAGACTCTGAGATGCTAGAGATATGGTTTCACTGTTTGTTTCCTTGTGCTTAGCAGAGTCTGTTTGCCACAGAACAGCGGAATGCAAGGCTGGCAGCTCCTTCTCTGCATTTCCTTCCTCTGCTCTGTGATCGCTCTTCATTCTATCCCAGTATTAGAAGTTCTGTTTCCAAAACAAACCCTGAGCTTAAAAAGTGGTTGGACATTTATGTTGACCTTAGTGTGAAGGATCTTAAGTCAGTATATGTTCTTCCTCAAGTGTATATTTACACGTTGAGATTTATATCTAATTGTGAAATTAAAAGATGTGTCTCAGTAGTACTTTATCAAGTATTTTTTGCGATGCTTGCAACTACTGGAATACCATGTGTCATTATATATTTATAATTTATAATAGCCTATATGATAATAAGAAAATACTCAGGAGATTGTAATGAAAATGGGAGAATAGATATGAATTTTTCAGAAAAAAATATATAATGAAGTCTGTTCTACAGTGTTAGGGTTACAAAGTGCACAGGTTTTGTGAATATTTTACATATACTCTACAATAAACAGTACATATAAGTGTTCTAGTGAAAGACATTCCCAGATCTATTTGTAAAGGACAGGGCTCTTCTTAAATACTAAAATTATTCCCTTGGACACAAAACCCAAATTACCTACACATCACAGCCAGGAAGAGTGTGTGTTTCATTACAGAAGGACACAGTAGTAGAACAAAAAAAAGGAAAATTTTGGCATGAAGGGAAATACAGACTATGAGCACTATCATGGAAGCCAGACATTCTTTCCCTCCTTGCTTGTTATGAGACCTCCAGGTACAAAGCACATGGGGTGAGTGAATAATGGGATTATTTAGAACAGGGGCCAGCCAGCTGCAACCTGTGAGTCAAAAACTACCTCCTATGCCTCTTTTTGGTGTGTGATCAAGGAATGAATTTTACAGGTAAGTGTTTGTAACTAATTTATTGATTTAGAACACTAACTTTGAACTTCACCTACGTGGAACGCCAATACTCTTCCTTTTCCATTCTCTTCATTTTATAAATTTCAGATCTAATAATTAACTATGTATCACAGCATACAGATGTTTAGTCAGTTATTAATTTTAAGTTTCATTAATGGGCTGTATGTTGAAACTTTTTCTTCTTTTGTATAAATATCTACATAGTGCTTTTGCTTATTGGTCCTTAAAACTGAGACGATCTGGTATCTACCTCCTTACAGAAAAAAAAATTTGCCAGGTCTGGTTTATAGAAAAAGAAACCAGACAAAAAAGAGATAATAGGACAATGGGAGAGGGTAAAAGGGAAACAGTGGAAAGTGAAGTGATGTTATAAATAAAGTGGAAGAAACCAAATGCTCATTTACTAATTACGTGAAGCATGTACATGGAATCTTTCAGGACGGGCTAGCTTGCCTCCACTAAAGCAAAAAGTCATCATTGCTGTGAAAACATAGCAAAAAGTAATCATCTTTGCTAAAACATATAATTTATGTTAAGACATGACATGTACATAAACACACATGTATACACCTCATTGCCTGCCTACTATGAGGGAAACATGACTCTGAGACCAAATCCCAGGTGTTCCATGAACTTATCATGTTGATTTGGGGAGTTCCCCTTGCTTCTCCCTGTCCATCTTACCAACTCTCCATTCCCTAGAGTTGCAGGTGGAATTTGTTATCATCAAAACCAGAGGGATTTCTCATTTCTCAGTGTCCTCTAAACTCTTCTCTGGTTTCCATAATGCTGCCTTTGTGACTCCTCTTTGATTCTAAAAATCCTCTGCATAAATACAGACTAGCCCAACACTCAATCCTCAGGTCTGTTTCATCTCTGTCATCCTTTCTTTAGCTTTCTCTGAATGTCTTACTCCCCCTGGAATGTGAACACTCCACTCCTCCATTTAAAACTCCACAGGGGGTTGTCTTTAAGTCCAGTGATTGTTGAGCATACTAGATATGTATATCTGTACTTCCATCCCCACTGACCCTAACAATTGCTTGCTTCTCTCTTTACAGTCTTTTTCCCCATGGTTTTGCCCGATTCCAGGTCTCCTTAATGCTTATTTGCTGAACTCACTTCTAATCCTTCAGGACTGACTTAACCCCTGTCCATTAGTCAGTTATTTTAAACACTTAAACATAAGTTTTAAATTTAATTTAATTTGATTTAGATTATCTTTTTGAGTATTTCATATTGCTGTTAGGTAAAACAACTCCAATGATGAAACATTCCCAAATGCTGGGCCTTTTATAGCTCTCAAAAACCAGCAAAATGTGATGCATCAAGTGTGCACAAGTATTCCAATACTAAAAACATTCAAGATACCCTATACATTTTTGGACAGGAAATCAAATTATATGTGCTACTCCTATATCAGACTCTTCACAGCTTCCTGTTCCTCTCAGAAGAGAACAAGTATCTTCACTTGGACCACTTCTGACTTTTTTACCTTCTCTGTATACAGAGAAGTGGCATAGTGGGCTCTTTGTTCTTTGGATAACCTGGTTGGCTTCTCCTTTGACTGGAATTTGGCCCACACATTTTCAGCATTGGCTCAAACTTGGCATCTACAGAGCAGCTTAAATGTCACCTCCTCTGCTCACCACCCTTTCTCAAGCTATCTATCTTCTTACTCTGTGGAATGAATTCATTTC